CTTTGTTGGAAACAAACTCTCCTATCTCGCTTGTTTTACATATTTTACATTTTATGCTTACTTTGGTTGCATTTGTTGGATCTGTCAGGCTTTGAGGTCCTTGTGTTTCTTTTGTTTCTTGGAAGAAAGGTCATATTGCCATTTTTTTTTCAGGAAGGACCTCATTTCCCAAGCATGCTTTCAACAATATTTTGGCTTGTTAGGTAGTCTTTGATGGTGTTGTTGTGGAGATTTATTGATGATAACCTTTCTTACATCTTTTGGTGGAACTAATTTTATTTCTTTATAAAGTTTATAACATCTCTATCTATTAAAGGATCAACCATTCAACCATAACTCACCTCATTATAAATTTCCCAGTAATTGGAAAAAATTTTCAGTGCATTGTTTATTCACCTTATGATAAACAGTTTTACGTGAATTTTGAGGGCAAATGGATCCTCCTTCCATCTCTTTGCTACTGTCATTTTCCATCAAAGAGCAATATGCCACCTCTTCAAAGTCTAAAATTCTTTAATCTCATCAACAATGGTGGTGATAAACTATTTTCTTAGACATCTAACTTGTGATGAAGCTTCCAAAATTTTTTTTTAGAGTTTCTTTGAATTGGCAATGAGTTCTGTTGGGCATGTGATCTTTTTTTTTCCTCTCATTGTTGCTAATCAATTTTCTAGTACGCCTTGTACTGATGCTTTTGGTCTATATTATTATTGGATTGGCTATTTTCTTCAATTACAATAGATTTAAAACTATCTTTCATTTGATTTCTAGCAGAGAAATGCTTTGATTTTCTGCATAAGCCATCTTGAACCCCTACGAAGTACTTAATAAATATAGATATTTCCTCTGATGAAATTTCCGAAGTAATTATGGCTCTTAGAAATCTGTGGTTTAATCCTGAATTGGGGATGATCGTATTTTTTGTTAGTTGTTTCAGTTTTACTTCATGTCTGATGACTAATATTGTAGAGCTAAGCATTTAGGAGTCTCTTAAATTCTGTCCATGTCAACTTTGATGTCATTGTCCTTGAACTGAAAATTCCAGAACACAAGTGCATGTAAAAGAATTATACAAGCAAAAACATTTCTTTTGGGGTTTTTATAATTTTATATAGAGGAATATGCCTCATTATGCTCTATGCTCTAGCAAATTATGAATTACCTCAAGATTGACTGTGCCCTTGTCATAACACAACTCGAGCTTTATATCGACTTTGCAGGATATGTCTAAGTTCTATTTTTAACCAATCATCTATTTACAATGTCAATCATCAATGGGATTTGCTCCACTAACACTAGGTTTATCCATCACCGGATAGTATATACAATTCAAAAGGTTGTGTGTACGATTTTTGGCTTGGATAGTGAGGATCATATATGCGATATTGGACTCAGAGATATGACTGAGTACGTTTTCTCTAATTACCTTATTTGGAGAGCTACCAAACGAGTAAAGGCTTGGAGTTTGAAGTTAGATGCTTGCCATTGGTGGTCTATAACATTTTTTGGTGACTAGGTTAATGGTTTGTGCCAATGTGATCTTAGCTGGAGGTGACATAAATTGGAAGGGAATTGCTTGCCCATAATTTTATCATTTTGAAGGCTTGAGAGATTGTAAGAGCTGTGATGGAGTTTTAGGTGAAGTCCTAAGGTGAAGAAGGAGAGCTTGGAAGAGCTTTGCTAATGATATATATATGGATTTCTGTGGGTAATTTTTTCTTCAACATATAATGCAAGAGCTCTTCTATTACATGATGTTTTGTTATGGATGATGACATGATGTTGATAAAGCATGTGAAGTGAATGAGTATGAAAATGACGCGTTATGATATGAAATAATTCTTTATATTGATCCTCATATGTTTTTATGTTTCATGATGATAAATGAAAGTTATATCTATAGCATTCATAAATATGTTGCCACATGTTTCTTGAAGCTTTTGAGAGCTACAACTAAATATGAACATGGCACATGAATGGAATCCTTTCATACTGCTACTATAATGATTACATCCGACATAGTACATGTTAAAGAGAATGTTTTATCTATGGAAAGTTATTATAGTTTTGTCAAGTAAAGAGAAGTTATGCATTGGCCTTGCGCATTGCTTGTCTGTGAAGCATAAGCTCATAGAAAAATGTTCATGTTACACTGCTTCACCGCATCGTGTCGCAGTGTTGTGCGTTAGGTTCCTAATCAAAGTGAAATCCTTATTCAAATTTTATGATTCAGTTCAACATGACAGTAACTCCGCACTACTTATTGTAGTCATTGAGTTATTTCTCATTGATTTTTTTGTTCGTTCTGTTGGAACTATTCGCCTTTTGGTGGTTCTTCTCTTTATGCTCACTCTGCTAGCTTTTATACACTTCTCATTAATTCTTGTTGGTGGTGCTAGTAGCTTTTTGCTTACAACCTTCTTCTCAAGAATATTTTCAATGCTTCATCTTCACAGTATCTCCTCCGCCTTTCGATCTCTATTTGGGCACTTTTTGCACGAGTATATTCTTGATTTTTATATATTCTTACATCGCTTTATTATTTATATCATATATATCTTTGAATATTTTTTAGTATTTTAATAGATATAAATTACTATTATTGAACGTATTTTTATATTTGCTTAAAAATATTATTTGATGTAGTTTAATTTTAATTTGTATATTTTTAATACTTATTGTATTCATATAATATTTGCATATATATGATACACAACTCATGAATGCTTTAATCTATAATGCACCGAAATTTTTCTCAAAGAGACGTGCAGTGTCCGACACGACACACGTCCGACACGCCTCTGATACGCTGAAAACGCGTCGATTAAAAAAATGTTAAATACAAATTGGACATGCATGTATTAAATATTTTATGAAATTTTTTAGAAAATATGATTTCTTGTTTTTAAAAATTTTATTTATTTAAAATATTAATATACAATATAAAAATTAATTTTATTATTTCCTATCCACAACACCAAATCAATCGTCCGCACTCAATACCCCATTCATCGAATATTTTCATTTTCGTTTCTCTTTGGCGGGTTGCAATTTTGGTTTCACGATCATGCCCAATGTCATCTCAATATTGACATCTGACATCATCACAACATCGACATTTCAAAATCATATCAACATCAAAATCTAAAATTGTCTTGACATTATGCTCAACTCTAGCAATTTCTACACCAACAACTTTACAACTCATCTTTGTCCGACGTCGTCTTAACATTGATGAACAACACCCTCTCAACATCGATGACAGACGCCCTCATGACATCGACGCCTAATACTTACTGTATAACATCGATGCCCGACTTTCGACAGCATTGTCGTTTTCTCTCTCGATGTCTGATACACGACTTCAACGTCCGATTCTTGAAATCATAATATTAATCATTTTAAGCACACATTCTAGTTAAATGACTTATTATTTTTAATTTATTTTAATATTATACGTATTCAATTTATCTAGTGGCCGTGTCGTGTCTTGTCCGTGTCGCCGTGTTTGTGTCCGTGTGGCCGGTGTCGTGTCTTGTTCGTGTCGTCGTGTAGTGTCCGTGTCGCCGACCACATGTAGTGGGATAAAGGCTTGATGTTGTTGTTGTAGTATATTATGAATCTTATGGATATGGATTATGGAATAACATGTAATGGCATGGTTGTAATTTAAAGGAAATAATATGGATATGATGATAGCAAAAAATGCTTGAATGATAACATAATAAGAGTAATAGGATGACAATGATGATGATTCCTGCACCTGCAGTAGAGTAAGCTTTACGCTTATGCTTAAGGACAGTGTCCATTGCATGTGTAAGAGGCTATTGGAAATTCTAGTGCCAATTGACCCCAACTGATGTAGAAGAGTAAGCAAGCAAAAGTGCTTGTGTTAATGATAGCCCTGAAAATGCAGGAGAAAATGTAGAAATGCTCCTGCTAATGGATGATCCCTAGTGATGTATGAGAGCAAGCCGATGGGCTTGTGCTAATTTTGAACCATGCAATTTAGGAAAAGTAAGCCAAAGTGCTTGTGGTAATTTTTAACCCCTACGTATTCTGGATAGCAAGCTTTGGAAATGTGTTATGGTGGAAATGATTGGTGGCTTGGCCAAGATTAATCCGGCTAGGCATTGGAGATTGGTTTTAGTCTATGTGAAAAAGATAAACTGCAGTAATCTGTGAAAGATGATTTATTTTATTTCTTCATTGAACCCTACCCATGATGAGGAAAACCACTTGTATGAAACTTGGATCATCCTTGCTGATGACTTTGAAAGATGTAATAAAACTTGTATTTTTGGTGATACGCTTGAAAGGTGGAATGAATTAGTTTCTTGATTGGATTCTAATCATGATGAATATGATGATGATGGAGGGAGCACTTGCATGAAACTTGGATCCGTGGTGATGGTGGCCAGTCATGAGTGAAAGAGAGAAACCTTGTTTTTGATTGAACCGTGATGAGCATGAGGAAGAGTGTACTTGCATTGAACTTGGTTCCTTGGTGGTGCTGAAAGGTGGAATGAATCCGCTTGTTGAGGATGAGGAAGAGAGCACTTGTATGAAACTTGGGATCCATGGTGATGGTGGCGGTTAAGGGGAGAGAATTAAAAAGTTGTTAGCACATTGTGCGAGGGAGGGTTAGGTTGTGCCCATTAAGAAATTTTGAAGGGGAAGCGAAGGAGATCCAAGTTATATATTCATTAAAAAATTTTTAACACCCAGGCCTCGAGCATTAATTTTATTCATTCAATTTTACCCATTTTTTTGTCAGTCAGTTGTATTTTTATGGTTTTGTTGACAATTTGTGGTTCTCCCGTCTAATTGCGTATTATAGATTTTATTTATTGGTAGAAATACAATTAGTTTTTCATTGGGATTTTCATATAATATATATATATTTTTTTTTCTTTTTTTTTTCTTTTTTGAAATCTAATGAAATGATTTGATTTTGTGGTCAACTTTTGGTATATATGTGCTATCTTTGGTTTGATCAGCTGGCATTACAAGAGGCTCAAGAAGGGAAAGACTGTTGAGCAAATTTGTTGAAAATGAATGTGAGAAAATTGATAGGCTTATGGAATTATATTCACGGTAAGTAAAGATTTTCCACATTACTTGTCCTGAGAACCTCTTCGTTTTTAGTTCAAGTTTATTTCTCTATTTTTTAGTGCCAATTTGTGGGTTAGAAATATGTAATCTCCCATAATTTTGCAGGTACTCTGATAGAGTTAAGAATGAGACAGAACGGCTGAACAAACTTGAACTAGATGACCTGGAGGTAATCATCATATCTGATATTCTCTGTTTTTGGTTAAATTTTATTATTATATCATGTGACATCATTTTCTCCTAAATTCTTTAGATGGATGAAGAAGAACAGTATAACCGTAAGCTAGAAGCTGGGCTATACACTCTCCAAGTGAGTATATGTTTGTATTACCTGCCTTATACTATGATTAAGTTATGTGTTCCTCTTTCTATTTGGACGATTTACTTTTTATTTTTAGTTCAATAACTAATTGTAAGCCCTCATGGATTTTCAGTTGATTGCTGTTATTCTAGGCCACCTTTGGTCCTCTGAGTAAGTTATTATTTTCCTCTTATATGGTTTCTTCCAACTGTCATCAGCTACAGATTTCATGCACTGTTCTAGGTCTATATTTTTTAGATTTCATGTTGTGTAGGCATCAGCAGATGAGGGGAAGAATAGAGCTACTACTTCGGCAGCAAAGATTGACAAAGGAGGATGTGAAGGATGTACTTCTGGTACAGATTGTTAAGCATTTCAATGCCCTATTAATTTTGTTATTAGAACTCTTATGATATTTCTAATGATATAAAATATTTTATTAGTTCTTGTTTATAACTATCTTGTGCATCACTGAATGTTTTGTTTGAGATTCTATGTCGGTGTTATCAGCAAGGATACTGATTTTGTGATTTAATTTGACCGTTGTTTATACCTTTTTTTTTTCTATTAGCAAGCTATGCAAAAGCTTGAGACAGGGATTTCCCTTGGTTGTTCAAGTATGTTCTGCGCTTTCCATTATTACATGAAGTGATTATACTCCCTTGGATTTTGATTTTTTTACTAGTAATTTTTCTACTTTGATTCCCAGAGAATGCGCCAGACATTATTTTAGCATTCTTATGAAACAAAATTTGTTCGAGTGTTGCAGAGTTGAGGATTGCTCAGGTGGATGAGTGGCCTTACTCTTATAGATAGGATGCGAAAGGAGCATATACATGAAAAGCTGGAGTAGCTCCGGTGGAAGATGAGATTAGAGAGAGTCGTCTTAGATGGTTTGGTCTTCTGCTGACCTTGTTAAGGAGAGTAGATGTATTAGATTTGACTTATGTTAAGAAAGGTAGAGGTAGACCTAAAAATACTTGGTTAGAAAATATTAGAAATAACATTTTTTAATATATTTAAATGAGAATTTAACTTTTAACAAGACAATGAAAAAAAAATGATTCATGTAACCGACCCCACATAGTGGCGTAAAGGCTTGATGTTGTTGTTTGTATGCAACAAAAATCATTGGTCTAATCTGCCAGTGAATTATTTTTGTGGTTCTGGGTCAATCAGTTATTCAACTTTTATAAAAGGTTTCACATGCTTGATAAGTCTTAATGCTTGAAACTAACTTAAAAAAACTGTCCATTTCTATTGTAAATTTCCTTTGCACTAAGATGCCGATCCGCTTGGTCTTGGTGATGTGAAAGCACAAACCCTTCAGTTTCGTACACATGCCTGCACTGGCATTATACTGTCACATATCGGAAGTGTAAGGGGTATCATACTTCTTTTATTGTTTGTCTCTTTATTGCATAAGCTGAGTTTAGTTTGTTGGTTACTTGATATATTTGATAGTTTTTTTCTAAGCTCCTTCAAAATAGAAAGCTTGAATAGACGAATGGTATCATGCATAATTGAAGACAAAATCTAGGGTTTTATGCCTTGGTAGTGATTACCTTTTTTTTTTGTTTGGTGAAACTACTCCCTCCAATTGGATTAATTATTCTGTGTGGACGACAAACGTCATCCGGAGCCCTATCAGAATGTGCCACGTTACCCATGTGCTCGGTATTGTGGCTCGGTACCGTAATGTGATGCATTCTGATTGATTTCTAGATGGCGTTCTGGTTTCGATCTCCGCACAGAATAATTTACCCTCCAATTGAAAGTTGAAACCCTCACCTTATATATATATATATATATATATATATTTGTTTATTGTATATTTTGGTCTAATCTTTCTTATGTAATTTCTATTCATCAATCATCAACTATATATGCTGCTGCAGGAGTATCATGACAACATTGGAGATGTGGACGGGCCAGAAGACAAGGAAAGAGCACAAACAAGAATCCAAAAATTCATTGCAGCACTGTCAGACCTATAAAATCCATATAGAATGCTATTATGGACTATCATATCATGCTTTTGATCCCTAATTTCTCAAATTTGAAGAGTTCAGTTTGTAAGGTTCAGTCTTTGCCAGTGTGCTACTAGGGCTAAGTGCATCAAAGCCTTCGGGCTTATTTGATTGTTTTATAGATAAGTTAAAGGGAATGATAGGTGCAGTTTTTTCGTTTGTTTTGTTTTTTAGATAATAATTATAATTTTATTTCGGTACTGTCTTTTTATTATGTTATGTGAAATGAATATTCTCTAAGATAATTAATTTATAAAAGAATCTAAGTTTCATTTTATGGAAATTTTTATTAATGTTTTTTATAATTATTATTTCTTGTAAATTATTATTTAATTATATCTTGTTATAGAAACAATGTTAGCAAATTTTGATAATTATTGCAAAAAGGGTAGAATTAATAGCAAAAAATGCTTAAGTAATATATATATATATATATGTTTTAAATTGAGACTTATATATATAATTTGATAATTAATGCAAAATGATTTTGATAAAACATTAATGAATAAACATTAAAAATTAAATGATGAATACTATATGTTTCTGATCTCTTTTAGGAGTACAATACAAATTGCGACTTATTCAATATCAAAACTAAAAGAAAATAATTTAATTTATCATAATATTTATTTTTTGAATGACTATTATTTATAAGTATTTAATCAGTTTCTTCTAATTTGTAGAAAATTTATTCTGCTGATGTAATATATTATCTTTTATATTTTGAGCACTTAATTATGCTACATTTATTGGAGTTTAGTTGTTTTTATTTTTCATTTAAAATTTTTAAAATTTATAATAAATTTATATACAACAATTTTAAATTTATTATTTTATTATTTGTCATGTAATTCTAAAATGTTTTTTCTTTGTAGTATGTGTATTCTAATTGATATTTTATAGACATTCCTTAGAAAATTATGCCCAAATAATTTCACTTGCATGCATGACTATAAATCTATAATGGAGGAATATTGTGCAGAGTTTGACTTTCAATTTGAGTAAAAATCTGAATCGACAAATATGAATATTTTTTAGTGAGCTGAATCGAAAGCTAATAGGTAAATTTGGACCAGTGGTCGCCAGCAGGTCTTTTGAAGCCTTCACTCCAGGGGCGGAGCCGGCTTCAATTTTGAGGAGGGACAAATACAAAAAAAAAAATTATATATCTATATATTGCTAAAAGTTTATTTAAAAATTTTAAGTAAGAAAAATAAAGAAAAAAAGGTGTAATTAAACTGTCATGAAAAGTATGAAAGAGAATATTTAAACAAAATGTGAAGAATATATAAATATTTAGGACAAAAGAGTTTTTTAGGAGGGGCAAAATTTTTTTTTAACTCTTCTATAAATATCTTGTAAGTGTCCATTTAGAGGAAAATTATTATGTCCTGTGTTCGGATTCGGCCGGACGCCAATCCAAATACGTCACATCACCAAAATACATCGGGTCCCAGTATATTTGGGTGACGTGGCGTGTCTGGATTGGATGTACGGAAGTCCGGTCACCGGACGTAATAATTCACCCCATTTAGAGCCTAGTCATAGAACTAATCATCAGAGTTTATTAAGGCTTCATTGAATAGATTTCGTTTGGGAGAATTTTTTTATTGTATTCTAAAATAATTTTTTATTACAAAAACTTTTTAATTTAAAAAAAAAAATTGTGTTAGGACACAGCCTTAGAAAATAGTAAAAAAGTTATTCCAAACGAAACCTAAAGCAATGAATTGATCATCAGAAGTAGTGAGAAGGTTATAGAAGTTGGATGCTTTATGTTTGAAAAATTGTGTTTGCATCTTTGATTTAAGAATTTAAGTATTGGAGTGTGATTCATTGTTATGATGTGCCATTATGAGTCCTCAAGAATCTCAATAAAGTCATCTATCCAATTAAGGCTTCGTTTGGGACAGTTTTTGTACTGTTTCCTAAAACAATTTTCTAGTCTAGTGTAGAATTTTTTAATTTAAAAAATTTTTATGCTAAAAAAATATTTTAGAAAGCAGCAAAAAAAAAATTTCCAAGCTAAACCTAAATCTCAAGCTTCATTTGAAGTCTTTGAATGCCATAAAGCACTCTCTTGATCTTCTCTAATTTCACTGTTAATTTAAAAGATGGCTGAGCTGCTATGTAACTATAGTATTCATGATCACAAAATCAAAAAAAAAAAAAAACTGAGCATATATTGTAGAATTTTTTGTTACACATTTTCTTCTTATAAACAACCAAAAATATTTAAGATAAAGCTGGTAATAAAAAGAGTTTTGCCAGCCAGATTTAAGCTTCGTTTGGGATAACTTTTGGTCATTATTTTTTCGCTGCTTCCATTAAATTTTTATGCTAAAAGCTACTTTTGAAATCAATAAAACAGTCGTCACAAATGAAGCTATAGGTTATGTTTGGGACGGCTTTGTTACTATTTTTTAAATCAGTTTTTAGTACAAATTTTTTTACTAAAAGTTTTGTATTGAAAAGCTGCTTTAGAAAGCAGTAAAAAGTTATCCCAAATAAAACCTTAGTTAATCTTTCGAGATAAATGAATGAGATACAATTACAAGGCTAACTTTAGTGGATTTTTTGCATGACTTCCTCTTTCGTTTTTTTTTTTTTAATAAAAGTGGACAAAGTTCCATTGCATTCAATAAAAAGATAATACAACACGGATCAAAAACAAATAGAACCAATTACAGCGCTAGAGAAAGGCGAAGACGAAAGTCAGACTCAGAAATGGGAGCATCATGCAACTACCCAGCCGTCAGACAAGGACCATCCATTGGAGATAACAAGACAGAAACAACCATCAACAAACAACAAATGAAACTTGTAACAACCCGCAAGCCAAAAAAAGGCCACCGAACATAACTTCCTCTTTCTAATTTTGTATAACACAACAAGAATTACTTTGGTTTCATTGGATATTGGTGTATTATATTGTTACATGACATAAAACAATTCTTCACCATTAGAGAACTGCTTTCTAACTGTATTATGCTGAGAAATAGATGAAATATATTCAAACAAAAAGCTCCACAATATATTATCCCTAATCATGAAATAATCATGAAATAAGAGATATAGAGGGTTTTTTCTTTCTTTCTACAGAAATTTTAACAGAAAAAACATTGCAATATATAGAGAAAAAGCATTACAAAATGAAATCTTAATCACACAACTAGTCATTTACAGTATCACAACATGAAGAAAAATCCTAGAAATAACAAGTGAAGCAGCTGTCCAAAGTTCCTCAATCACTTATTTTTGAAGCAAAAGCTTACAAAAACATGAATGGTTCTTTCCCAACATGGAAAGGGGGTTAGGTGCATTAATTTTCTTTTGTTAGTCTAACAACACAGTAGTTCTTGAAGATCATTTTTGTTTCAGATTTGCAGATTATCTCATTTGTAAGCCAATAAAAATAGAACTTACAATTCTATAAAAGAAATCTTGAGAGCCCCACTTTATACCCAGTTGTCTTGACATCTTCTTGCACTTGTCTTCTGAACTCCTTGAAAGTGAACTTCTTGTAGCGAGAAGGCTCCTTGCAGCTACTTATGATGGAGTCATATGAAGGGCAAAGAAAGTAAGCTATGGAGTATCTCTCTACTTTACTGTTGGTCATCACCTTGTGCTCCACACTCTTGTACACATCGTTGCTCCATGCCTGTTATTCAACATAAATTTGAGTTAAGCCCGAAACCGAGGCCGGATTTCGTTAAAAGAACACAAGTTACATTCAGGTTGGCAGCACATTCCGTTTGGGACGGTTTTCTTATTGCTTTCTACAACAGTTTTTTAGTACAAAAAATTCTTAAAAACAACGAAAAATTAGTGGTGAAAAGTTGTTCCAAACAAAAGCAAAGTGAAGTTTGAAAATCTAGAAAAAGGATGAATTTTAGTAATAAACCTCAAAATCATAGCAAATCAAATTGGATTCAGGTATTTAGGGTCACTTTCCGGATGAATCATTCTGTGGGGACGTCGAACGCCGTCCAGAGCTCAATGAAAAATGCGCCACGTCACCCCCTACTCGATACCGAGGCTCAGTACTGCTCGGTACTGAGCTCTGTACTGCTTGGTATTGGATGACGTGGCTGCACCTGATTCGCCTCTAGACGATAAGTTGTGTCCACTTTCCGATACTAGCTTGCTTCCAACAGTTGATTGCTCTTTGCTCTTTTACTTCTCATATATTCGGAAAATTATTACGTCCGGTGTCCGGATTCGTTCGGACACCAATCCAGACGCGCTATGTCACCCAATTAAACTGGACCCCGGGTGACGTGGCGCGTCTGGATTGGTGTCCGGACGGTCCGGTGACCGGACGTAATAATTCGCCCATATATTCAGTGTGCTTTATCATGCTGACCAAGTTTATTTCATTCTAAATCGTTGACATAAATTAACAGTCCTAATAATAAAGATAAATGAAGATCAATAGCGAATCAAGACTAAGTGATTGATGTGATCAGTCACTTTCTTGAAGATAAGAAAGTTGCTGGTCCCCAATCCCTCTCAAGTAAGAAAATAGTGTTGCTTAAAGGAAAAGGCAGCAACAAGGTCTTATCCTATGTACTTTGTTTACTCTGTTAAGCTGATTCTATGGCCATCTCTTGTCATTGATTATCACAACATGAGGCAACTTAATAAAAAAGGGGACAAAGAAATGCCTGAAAGAGATCCCCAATATTGACTATGAGAGCTTCTGGGTTTGGTTTGATAGAGACCCATTTTGAATCCTTCATCAATTGGAGACCGCCGACATGATCTTGGTGGAGAATTGTTAGGAAATCGCTGTCTGTGTGAGGCATAAGACCAAAAGTCTCGGGCGAAAATGGACATGATGGATATCGGTTCAGGCGGAGAAAGCAGGTGTTTTCGCTACAATTTTCGGCGAAAAAGTCTTCATGACATCCCAAGTTTTCGGCAAGAACACCGGCGAGTATCCTCGCCAATTCTGACATGGAGCCTGCAACCTTCTGCATCAACTCCCTGGAAGTAGAAGAATAGAAAATAGTTTGAATAGCTCAAAGGAGGGAAAATAGGGGGGCAATTCAGTAGAACAATTGAAGTGATCAACCTTGTCTTTTCCTTCTAGAAAATTTATGGGGATGTTTGGATATAAATATAATTATTCTCAAAGGAAGATTTAGTTAGTTGAGCAAATTAAAATTTAATAGATTTTGAGAGAATTAAAACATGAAAACAATTTGATTATTTTGTTTGAGAAATTAAGATTTGTGTGAGAGAAAATTTTAAATTATTCATTAATTTCAATAATAGTATTTAGCAAATTGAATTTAATCAAATAGGGTCAAATTAAGATTTTGTTCAGAATAACAGGATTTAATGTCACCAAATAATTTGGCGTATCATCTTATGTGCATAACACATGAAATCAATTAAAAAATATATTTTTTTTCTTTTTTGTGGGGATTTTTGAACCAATTAGTTAAACTCATGCACACATCACATATACAAACTTCGAATTCAAAATCTCTTAGTTGATAGTCAAAGCTCCCAACCAACAAATCAAGATGAACTGCATCTATATTCACTAATACACTGATCAAAGCTTTATCTTTATATTTCACTAATCTTAATGATTTTCAATAACTTTGGGACTTGTTCTAGCAAAAAAAATTTAAAAATTTAATTAGAATATACTGAGATAGCTGTTTTTCTCTCTATTTAGCAATATAACTCATGATTGAATCCTTTTGATTCTCATTCACAACTGAATTCTTCTTCAACAAGATTGTTTTCCAACCAAAATTATAATGAAAGCTTGACAATCAAATAAGTTTGGTCAGCCAACCCTTCTGATTCATTCGATCTGAAAGATTTTAATAAAAAGTAATTTGATTTATTTAGAGATAAAATGATATATGGCATATCAAAACAAATTTCTTCATGATGATCAAATTTGAAAAGGGGTGCTGAAAGAAAGATAAACAACCTCAGAGATCTGAACTCGTCTTCATAGCAACCACCATCCTCTGCAAGCTTAGAAAGAGGAACATGAAAGGCTTCTGACCACGAGAACTGATCCAGTGAAGTAGCGGTAGGATTCCCCCACCTATAAGACTCATTCAACACCTTTGATCCAACCTTCTTCTCAAACGGCCTATGAAAAAGCCTCTTCTGCTCTCTCCTTGTCTCCTTCAAAAGCTCTGTGCTGATTCCATGGTTCACCACCTGAAAGAATCCCCATTCTGAAGAAGCATTAGCTATCTCAGCAACACAATCCATCCTCTCCTCTTCATTTCCACACTGTAAGTCTTTCAAATCTATAAGCGGTAGCTCACATTCCGCTGTGACTCTGCTTTCATGGCTACTACAAGAGTGTTCTGCGTCAGCTGAAGCAGAGAACAAAAAACTGTAATTTTGTGAGAAAGGAGGATCATAAGAAGAGGCTTGGAAGGCTGCCATGTCTGAACAAGTGGTAGGGGGAGAAAAGAAGCATGGAGGGGCTGAAGAGGACGATGGGGTGGAAAGTATAAGAGGCAGGATTGGTTTTTGCGAGCAGTGGGAAACTGACAAATGGCAAAAATTGAATCTTTCCACTGCAAGTCTTAAAGATGTTGATAAAGCAGAATGAAGATGATGATATGCAGTTAATGGATAGATTTTGACTTAGATGTGGAAGGTTATAAATGCTGACTCATTATATTCAAAAACTGCCACTCTTACAGAACTGTCGGAGTACTGAACACTGTCATTTCTATCCAGCTCACTGTTCTAGTTGATAGTTTTTTTTTCTCAAAACGGTGAGCGATAAATTATAAATAATGGTTTAATTTAAAAAATAATAATATTCTCCTATTGATTTTTTTAGAGAAATTGATAGAAATATCAAGATAATCTCAGGATTCTGACTCTAGAAGCCTACTTAGGCTTCAAAAACTTTCAGAAAAAGCTCCTACTCTCTAGATGAGAATACCAGACGCATTCTGCTATGAAAACTGTGTTGACTCCCATAATTTTCTAGAGAATCTCATAGAAATACATGTGAATTTGGTCTCTGCTTTCTATCCTTTCTTTTGAAACGTGAATCTTATCTTCCACCTCCACTTCACTTTCTCATGACGAAAATTATTAGGTGCGGATATCGGATATAGAGAACCGTCCGATTTTCTTTCTGTCTACAGTGAAAGTGCAGTTAAAGCACAGTTGCTACAGTAACTTCATTTTTACTATAGATAGAGAGAAAATCGGACAATTCTCTCCGTCTGATTTCCGTACCTAATAATTTCTCTTAGTCATGAGCTTGTGAAGTAACAGCCTTTTGTCTCTCTCTTTCAGGCTTAGACTTTCTAATTCTTAGTTCAATGAATCCAACTTCTTTTCCTTTGTTAGTAGATACTTTATGATTATTTTTAAGAGAAAGAATTGAGCTCTGCCCTCTATCAAGTTAGCCAGTAGAGAGCAAAATAGGCTCATTGTACTCCTTTTTTTAAGCCTTCTAGCTTCCTTTGCCTCTTTCATGTTTTCTTCACATGGCCACTTTGTTTCCCTATTTAATAAAGGATTTTGCTTTACTTTGACATTAAGGCCATGGATTTCTTACTAATTTTTAAAGTAGTTTTTTAGTATCAAAATTTTTTTAATTCAAAATTTTCACTAAGAAGCAGTTTTAAAAAACAGTAAGAAAGCTGTCCCAAATGAAGCCTAAGACTTCGTGTGGGACGACTTTCTTACTGCTTCTTAAAGTAGCATTTTAGAATAAAAATTTTAAATTTTAAACTAGAAAACTATTTTAAGAAGCAATAAAAAAGTCGTCCCAAACAAAATCTAAACCTTTGTTTGATACAATTTTCTTAATGTTTTCTATAACAATTTTTCACCATAAATTTTTTTTTAAAATCACCCAAAATAGTGATCAAAAGCTGTTCCAAACAAAGTTGATGTCATATGATTGAAAACTTTTTACTTACATGTAATATAAATTTTCTTTTTTAGCTCTCATTTTATATCAAGATATAGTCTTTTGAATTTAAATCTCAATTTTTAATAATAAAGATTTAAAATAACTCAATTAAATAATGAGTTTTATTTTTCAAAAGAAAAACTAGAAAAAATAAAAAATAAAGAAGAATTGATCCCAAAATTTGTTAATTTTGTAATTTTTTTACAGCAAATACTAGTGTAAATTTCAAATAAAATTAAAAAAAAGGTTGAAATAGTTAAATTAAAAATAGCATTATTTTTAAAAATAATATCAATTATTAAACAATTTTTACACTAAATGACATGATTGTGATTTAATTAAAAATTTTAAAAAATATATAGATCATTTATTTAAATTAAAAAAAAAATCAAAGTCAAGGAATAAAATATGGGATGGTGGGGATTAGTGGCATGGCAAGTGGAGTTACTGTTCGTGTCTCTTTGACTCTTGCTCTATTAATTAAATCTTCATTTACCTTTCATGATCAATTTTATATTCTTAAAATAAAAAAAAAAATATTTTTTTATTCTTTTTAAAGTAAAGAAAGTTGCAGATTAGAGGACAAATCTAGTAAAACTAACCGGCCAAGAGTTGTTTATTATTTCGTTTAAAAAATGCTAATTGCATAATTAAATATAATTTAAGTCCAAACGTTCTGAAAATCTCATATTTGGCTCCATTTTTCTGTTAAGTTTGGAGATTAATTTTGTAATTAAATATACGTTTATTAATAAGCTGTCGTTAGGATTCATAGTGTAGGGATTAATTATTTTGTGCGGACTACAAACGACGTTCAGAAACCAATCAGAATGCGTCATGTCACCCCTTGCTCGATACCACGGCTTGGTATTGCTCGGTACTGCGACTGAGATGGCTGCAACCTGATTTGTCACCGGACGTAGAGCTATGTTCAGCCTCCGCTCATGATTTCTCTATAGCAGGGAACTTAATTGAGTCGAGCCTAGGGGTGGCTCAACCTAGGCTCGACTCAATTCTACGAATTCGAGTGGATGCTTTGCTGCTTATAATCAAAGAGAGAAAATAATTATGATTCAAATAATTTTTATAATAACTAGTAATATTCTTAAAGATAAATAATAAAAGAACAATTGATATAAGAAAATGAGATTTATTTTTTATATATTTTTAATAGTTTTATATTTGAACTCCTATATTCTTACGGCTTGCAAGCTAACTAGCCAAGTCGAGATTGGCTCAAGTTTGAGCTGGCTCATAAGTCAGTTTGACACCACTAATTCATAGACCCCACACGGTTGTTTGAATTTTTTTAAATTTTTTTTAAAAATAATATAATGTTCTTGTCTAAAAAATAATAAAATTATTATTTTTTTATATATAAATTTTGGCTGATAATGCATAAGAAGCTGCCACTTGGAAAGGGGCAACATTCTCATTCCTTTGACTATGTGAGTAAAATGAGGAGGTGACGTGTTGGAATCGATGCTTATAATTTTATGTTCAATGTTTCAATTTTGATGATTTGGACAATTTTGGTAATTTTTTTATGAGTTTTGCCTATTAGAATTATAACATTTAGATTTTTTTTTTTTTTTTGGCGCGGGGAAGGGTGATTAGAATTTTCCATTTTATTTTTATTTTTTTTGATAAAAAACTGCTTTGAAAAACATTAAGAAAATTGTCTCAAAAAAATGTTGTTAGCAATGTTAGATCATTCTCGATTGTGTTTTCAAGTTTTTAGTGGAAATTGTTGTCTTGAGGCATTAGAATTTCTTCAAGAGAATATTTGTGGTCTTTTTGGTCGTCCTCATATGTGGGAATTTTTATTAGGTATAGAGTCCGGACGCAGTGTTGTATCAAGACTCCAATAAAATCGTGAAACATGTATTGTACAGGTGGATATTCTTTTATATTTCTTACTTAAAATTTTTTTGCCAGTCCGACTGACCCGGCTCAGAACAAATCTTGTTCAAATTTTAGGGATGAGCTTTGGCGCTCTTTTTTTAATTGAAATGCTGGGAAAACATTATTTTTTTTAGGATTTCAGCACAAAAATATTTTATAGATGCTGAGAAAGAAAATGAGGGAAAATCGATGAAGATGAAGATTAGTCTAGAGGAGGCCAAGGTGATGAATATGAAGACTGGTCTAGAGGAGGTCAAGGCGATGAAGATGAGGACTGGTCTGGAGGAGGTCAAGGTTATGAAGATGAAGATTTGTTTGGACGAGGATAAGCTGATGAAGATGAAGATTAGTCTGAATAAAGGAAAAGTCGATGAGATGGAAATTGGTTAGGAGGAGAAACTGATGAAGATGAAGATTGGTTTGTAGGAAAAATCGATGAACAAATGAGGAATAATAGTTTTTTCTATACACTTAGGGAATATGAAATTTTGAAGTATTATTTGTATATTGATAGTTTTTTTTTTTGTAAACTTAAGGGGAAAGATGAATATGCTTTGTTTTATTGATGTTTTTTTTTTTTTTTCAATTTCCATTGCAGATGACTATTGGAAAAAAAAAACCACTGATAATATAACACCATATCTTTAAATAAAGTATGCTATGTACTCATATGTATATGTTATATTGGTTGTTGATACGCCATGCAAAAATTATCTTGATCGGATGCGAATCTCGAGACAAAAAGCTAGTTGGAAACTTCAAAATTTAATTTCGGGAGCATCCGAACTCCGATTTGACCACCGCCGGACCACCGCAGAATCTCGCCGGACCACCGCCGGACCACCGCAGAATCTCGCCGGACCACCGCCGGACCACCGCAGAATCTCGCCGGACCACCGCCGGACCACCGCAGAACCTCGCCGGACCACCGCAGGAATCTCGTCGGACCACCACAAAACCTCGCCGGACCACCACCTTAAGGCCCGACGTTCATCCCCGACGTCCTGCCAAAGACCCGACGTCTTGTTCAAGGCCCGACGTTAAGTCCCGACGTCCTGCTGAAGACCCGACGTCCTGTTTAAGACCTGACGTCCTGCTTAAGACCCGACGTCCTACTCAAGGCCAGACCATCAACATTCGATCTTCCAAGTGACACTGGGACTGACACCTGACTCCTAGTCTCCTACCGCCCACGGTCCTTCTGACCTCTGTCGCCTACTACAGTCCGTCCGACCTTCATCACTAGACAACGGTCTTTCAGACCCCAGTCTCCTACCGCCTACGGTCCTCCAGGCCTTCGTCGCCTACTATGGTCCTTCCAACCTCCATCACCAGACACGGTCTTTCAGACCCCAGTCTCCTACCGCCTACGGTCCTTCAGGCCTTCATCGCCTATTATGGTCCTTCCGACCTCCATCAATAGACAACGATCTTTCTGACCCCGGTCTCCTGCCGACTACGGTCCTTCAGGCCAAACAAACCTGTATATGTAACTCCTACCATGTAATGCAATCTATATGATGTACATTTGCTACATCAATCCAAGGCCTTCTCCTAAGGAAGGGCCTCATTTGTAATCGACTACAAATACTAGTGGATTCATTCAAACTGGGCCAGGCCCCGTGGTTTTTCCCCCTTTTCAAGGGTTTTCCACGTAAAAACTTTGGTGTCTCTTATGAATGCTAGACCCTTTCTCTTATCTGCTTGTGTGTTGGATCTTCGTACAATGCTAAGACGTTAAAACCATATATTTCTCTACCGTCGCGAATACTCCAGGACGCAACAGTTGTGATATTGAAATTTTGGTTTGCATCAGTAGACATTTTAACTAAACTGAAAATGTGTTATGTACCACTGCATTCATTTATGTGATTTTTTGTTTATTTTGATATTTTACATCTCGATACTAATGCTCAGTATTGCTCTGTACCCCTCGGTACCTCTCGGAACCAACGCTCAGTACATCTCGATACTGCTCGGTACCGTTCGATACCTCTCAATAAGCAATACTAAACAACTAATTATTTCTTAATCAGATTTCTTACATCTAGATCAATATGATTGGACACAACGATATCGAACATAATTTTTCACATAATATCAATTCAATGTTTATATCGATGAAATCTCAGTACCAATGCTTAGTTCCGCTCAGTATCGAAACTCGGAACCGCTCGGTATCGAAACTTGTACCACTCGATATAGATCGGTAATGGTCGGTACCTCTTTGGAGAGCTCGATACCATGCTCGATATCGAAACTTGATATCTCTTGGTACCGTAACTCGGTACCACTCGGTATTGCTCATTACCGGTTTGTATTGTTCGGTACCTCTTCGTAACGCTCAGTACCATGCTCGGAACTTGTCGGTACAATTGTGAGTTTTATTCCTTATTCTATTATGATTATATTTTTTACTAGCTGGTACAGAGCAGTACCTAGTGCACATTCTGTGTACCGAGAAGCTAGGACATTGATACGTACTCCAAAAATTAGGTGTCTCTTATGAATGCTACACCCTCTTACTTATCTGTTTGTGTGCTGGATCTTCGTACAATGCTAAGACGTTAAACTAAATATTTCTCTACCGTCGCGAATACTCCAGGACGCAACAGACATATAAACAAGCTAAGTAAGCTTTAAAGTTTCTGTGATACATATTTGTGAAACTGATGAGAAAACTTTAAAATAAAACAAAATGAAATAGAAATCACGGAGTACAAACGAATTTCAAACTTTGAAAATAAATAGAACTTCAAAATTACTCTTAAAAAAAAATAAACAACATGCCAACGGGCAGGGACCCCTGCCAAGGGGCCCTGCTTCCTTTGAACCCCCACCATATTCCCTAATTGTACAGAAAAAAACTATCATTCATGCAACACGTTCTTCTTTCAACTTTAGTTATTCCCCTTCATCTTTCTAGTGTTTGCATAGTGTTATCTTCATCGGCTTTTCCACCTCCAAACCAGTCGTCATCTTCATTACTTTTTCCTCGTTTCTTCTTTCTCAGCAACTATGAAAATGTATTTTGAGCTAAAATCCTAAAAATTATTGAAGTTTCGCAGTATTTCATTTAAAAAAAAAAAAAGAACAACAATTGAAAACCCTAAATTTGAACATGAATATTTTGGATCAGGTTAGTCGGTCTAGTAAGAAAAAAAACACAAAACGAAATAGAAATTAATATCCATGTGTACATGCCAAGTGTCGCGATTTTATTGGACTCCATATGTAGAGCTACATCCAGTGTCAGCACAGAATAAAAATTCCATTTGAAGAGATGATGCTAGATATTAGGAATTCAAATAAACTTAACTTTGTTTCAGGCAATGTGATAAATCCCGAAAAAAAAATGGCAATTCTATAAATGTTGCTTACAAAAAAAATCTATTGAGAAAAAAAAAATAATTGTGCGAGAATGGGGCTCGTCGAAGCTCATTGTTGGCAAGCACGGAAGCTAGGAGAACTGAGGTATGCTTGGTGACTAAAGGATCAAGGAGGAAATTTGAGTGAACACCTCGCCAGCTTTTACAACCGACTCGCCTGCCCGTTCGACTCGACTCCTGCTTGTCTGACTCCAGTCGCCCGAGTAGCCCCCGCGCCCGAATAACCCGACCCAACCCAACCTGCCACCCTGTCATGCAAAGGGTTAACAACTTGGCAAGTTGTTTACCCAATAACCGACTTTCTAACCGTCCCAGCTCATCCGCCACCACCTCCCGCCAGCTCGGCTCCTCGCCACGAACTTTTATTTTATCCGGTGAATGTACGCTCCTCTACGTTCGGATCTAGGAAAAAAAAACGCAATACCGAGTACCGAGTACCGAGTTGTACCGAGTTAAAAAACTCGGTATTGCGCTGTTTTGATCTAAAACCGAACGTAGAGGTGCGTACGTTCACTGGATGTAATAAAAGTTCCCTCGCCACATCCAACTTCTCCCCTCATCATGTCAGAGGCTCAGAGCCAGTTGTTGCCTAAGCAAATCACTAACTATTTTTTTTCATGTTAAATTTTATTAAACGATTTTAATTTAAAAATGTTTCCAACCCATTACTATTTAATTTAAGCAAAGTCGGCAGTTGGCAGACCATTATTCATGGCTGGAAAGATATTCATATAATTCGTTTTCTTTGAAAAATAAAATAAAATAAAATAAAAAAAGTTTGAAGCCTTAAACATGAAACATGTGGCATTTCTTGTTTGGTAGGTTAGCGGTGGTTTATAATAAAGTTCTGAAGGCCATCGTGGGCCGCCACCAGAAATCCTTATGTACTTGCGCGGACTGGGCCAGCTCGAGATGGCGCGGACTGGGCCAGCTCGAGCTGGAAAGCGCTTCTCTGCTTGAAATTCACACGGAAATTTTATAAAATAATAATATTATTATATATAATTTTTTAATTAAGAAATAAATTATAATAAAAATCGTGATTATTAATTATAAATTGTGGGACATTAATGGGATGACAAAACAATCTCATTGAGACTTTGGATTTACACACCTCATCTTGACCTGTTGGTTGAGAGTTTATGCGTCTTGGGTTCGAGTCTTTATGTATGCATTCTGTGTGTGAATTTGCCTTAAATGGAGACTTCGGATTTAGCTAACGAGCACAAATTAAGTAAATTTGATATCATTAGGGTATTTAACTTCAAATGCTAAAAGAATAGTCTGTAATAGAGAGAATTAATATGAGTTGTCTAATGAAAGATTTTGAAAATACATCCTCTCTCTGCATGAAAAGGGGTTAGATAAATCCCTACTAAATTTAAATTGGGAAAAAAATTATGTGACAATATATTGACTAAAATAAAATCATGATAAATTTTAAAAACCTTAGATATATTTTGCGATAAATGTACTATTCTCAAAATAAATTCAAGATTTTATGATAAAGACTGCATTCAAACCAAATTTTCTCACTCGAAAACACTTTATAAATAACATGGTTATATAATTTTGATTAAAAAATTTAACTTGACCAAAATAGATAAAAAAATAAAACTCGGTTATATATTTACATAATTATTTTTAAAGGAACAAATAAAATATTTATTTAATTTATAAAAAATATTTTATTTTACACATAATAAGCTATATTTTGGCATTCAAATATTAAATTTATGTTATGATGATTTATATTATAGATAGGAATTGTAAAAAAAATGACAATTTATTTCATTAACAAGTGTTTTTAAAGTAATTTAAACATTAATTTACTTAAGTGGGTGGTTAAAAATAATATTTATTCATATTATATATATAGATATAAAAGCAGGGCAACTAATTAGCTGCAATAATTTTTAATTTGCAGCGATTTAAATAACTAGAGTATTATAAAATGTTAATAGATTACAGATTTAAAAAAGAATTTGGCTAGATATCGTAATTAATTTTTAAATTAGAATAGGCTTTAAAATATTTAAATATGCTATAAAATAGGTATAAAATAAATTATTTATATGTGATATTTATTTTAAAATAGATTTAATGATTTCAAAAAATATTCTAATACGGAAGTTTTCCTAAGCAATCACAAATTCTTATTAAAAATAGGAATAGACAGCGATTTAAATAGCAAAAAAATCATTTTTTATTGTTATTTGCACATTTTAAAAATGCCAAAATTATATTATATGAAACATGTAAATAATCTTAAAAAAATTTAGTGAGCCCAAATAATATTTTATTATAAGGAGCTTATTGATTTAATAAATAAAAAATAATGAGACTTATTTTAAATTTTATATTATGAGAATTATTTATAAAAAAATTGAAAGATCTCACTTACTCTTTCATATTAAATAGTGAGATAATGTTAAAAAATATCAATGATCTCATAACGAAACCACTCACAAGATTTTTTTTAATCTATCAAGCAATGGAGTTCAAACTTTAAATGCTAAAATATTTCACTGTGTATTTTTCTTATATAAGCCCTTTGTAATTGAGAATTACAAACTAAACCTTGAACACTAATAATAAAATTGGTAGGATTGATGTGAAATTACCATCCTAGCCTCACTTTCAACGGCTAGAAAACTTCCAAATTTAGTTTCCCTCCAAAGAAAATTAATAAAATTCATATTTTCACAGAAATATTTTCTAATAAAATCACATTGAGTAGGCTTAATAATAAGAAATTAAAAAATGCATCTATATTCACCTCATTTAAATTCATACAAAAATTCTAATATTTGAAACTTTAATAAAAAAAATTACATCAAAATATTATGATAAAATTTACGTTAAAATAAATGCCATTTTTTTTATTTTGCATTAAATTAATATAATTTTTAATATCATGAGTAATACTAATCTCAATATAAATTTAAAAATAATAAGGCATATTCTGACATTGTCATCTATAATTCATTATTGTCTTATGTAATATTCATTTAAAAAAACACTTATTATATATTAAATATAATTTTATTTTATATTAAAAAAAAAGATACAACTTGCATTTCATCCCAACTCTTCGATATTCAGTACAAAGTCCTTGTCAAATATAAAGTGCCTAGAATGTATCTAGATCGAGTTGTACAAAAAGTTGTAAAAAGTTATAGGTAATTTTTATATACATAGGGCTCCAAAAAAGTGTAATAGTATAAGTATGACTCTTTGATGCTGTCTTACATTGGAAAAGTTATTATGTTCGGATAAAAAAACTGAAATCCGGATGAATACCGAGCGATACCGAGTGTTCGGTACCGAGCGCCCAAGTGACGTGGCGCTCTGTTATTGGTCTCTGGACGCATTCGGTGTCCGGACACATTAATTACTCCTTACATTGAGTTCAATATCCATTAAATGGCCGTTTAGCTTTATGGCAATGATTTGAAGAGAGAATTTCTCAGAATAAATTGAAGAACTGCAATGGATGAACTTGTTGGTATGGATTGAGAGGCATTTGTAGGGATCTCAACTTCCCTGCGCTCACCAGAGATGGATTGTGCATCTTCTTGCTTCAAAGACAACCTGGCTCTGATAACATGAAATCAACCATAAATAAAAGATGATAAAAGCAAAGAGGAAAAAAACATAATGGAAAATAGAGGATTATATTCATCATAATCCATTACAGTGCACAATATAGTTTATACGATGGACATTAAACATTTCTGGAATGTAATAAAAGCTAAAGAACAGGAAGAAGTCATGGTAATAATATTCCGGACAAGGAACAGTCAAGGGCGGAATTGTGCACTGCTGAGTTATTTGTAAGGGTTATTTGTAATCTGCTCATCCTTAATTTTATTTTTTGTCCATAGCCGACCTTTTTTTCATGCACTTTGCCCCTCAAAAAATTGGAAAGCCTCTTGGCCTCCCTCTATTTTCATGTGATTATGTTGAACTTTTCTAACACTAACAAACAAGTCTATAAAAAATAATTATGTGCAAAATAAATTATTTTTGTACCCATATATATATTTTTTATAATTATGTGCAACACATATTAGGGTTATGACTATTTTTTTTTAATACTAAACAGCAGCTCTTACAACACCCATAATAATCTTTAACATAACTTTGCGAGATAATCATCTGCCTTAGATTTTGTTTGGGTCAGCTTTCTCACTGTTTTCTAAAGCAGCTTTTTAGTAAAAAAAGTTATAATTCAAAAAAAAAAATTGTGCTAGAAAACTATTTTAGAAAGTAGAAAGAAAATTGTCCCAAACAAAGCCTTAATCAACAACAAAACACAGTTCAACTCAGTATGGTTATCGATCACAAGACAATAACCCAAAACTGGAAAAGTTATTCTGTGCGGACGCCGAACGCCGTCTGGAGACCAACCAGAATGCGTCATGTCACACATGTGCTCGGTATTGTTCGATACCACTGATGTGGTGCATTTTGCTTGGTCTTCGGATGACGTTTTACGACCGGTCTCCGCACAGAATAATTTTTCCCAAAACTGAGTCGGTTTATAATCTAGCTCACTGTATGTGTTGAGCTTATTGGTTTCTTAACCATAATGCTTCAAACAAGAAAAGATGAACCATTTATTACATTATAAAGGCCATTATACGAAGCCATGCAAAAGAATTAGATCTAGTCCGATATGGATAGTTAAAAATACATTTGCGCAGAAAGTTGCCAATAAATCATAGGATCATATTTTTAAGTTGAAAATAAATTTTACCACTAATGTAACAATCTAAACTTTGTCCTCCCTTTGGTCCTCATTTCTTAACAAATGGCATCAAAGTTAATATTTTGGTTGGGATTTAGTGATTTATATGATTTGGGGCTTCTATGCATCGTCATGGCGTTCAACTATGGTTAAATAGAAGTCAAGAGTGCATGATCTTACCGTAAATCCGTATGGTTAACTAGGCTCATTGTGCATGACACTCGATGGTGTTAAAAAGATCTTGTTAGAGATGGTTGATGGCAAATAATCAATGCAATGAGTTCTCAAGTAAGAGGGAACCGTGTTAAGGTACATAAAAGTGCTACATAAAATAATTAAAACATATTCTTGAACAGAAATACTAAGTGGCCCTCATCAATAAGCCTAAGTTTTGGAACTAAAAATGGATTGGAACATTTGTGTATCAGGCTCAACCTTTTTTTTTTAAGTGTATCAGGCTCAACCTTAACTCTCATTTGGTCCTCACTTTCTAACATTGAATTCCATCATAATCTAGAAAGGTAAAGGTCTCCTTTCTTCTCAATTGGACACAAAAAAGAAAAACTAACAATTTCATTAATTCTCATTCATATGCCCAAATTGATTTTACTTATGTTAAGAAATGTAGAGATAGACCTAAAAAGATTTGGTTAGAAAATATTAGAAATGATATTTCTTTATTAGATTTAAACGAGATAGACCTAAAAAGAAAAATGTAAATTAAGGCTTTCCAAAGAAAGTTTGGTGGAAAAGGAAAGTAATGAAGAGGGTGTGAATGTGGAGGCAAGGGGAATTGGAAAGGGGAAGGATCGGCGGCTTGAACTAGGGCTGAGGTTAGGGTGAGGTGGAGGTGGGGGGAATTAAGTGGATCACCAATCAAGGGATGATCTTCTTTGGATGGCTGGCAGCTAGGTGGGGAGGGGGAGGAGTATTGGCCGGTGGTGGATCTTGGTCTTGGAGTGGAGGATGGCGTTTTTGTGGTTGGGAAACCCTAGGACAACGGCTAGGTGAAAGGGGAGGGAAGAAAGAAAGGTTAGAGAATAAGAGAAAGCCACGAATCAGGACTCTTCTAAGGTTGGTAGGTGATCCGCTTCCCTCTCCTAGGGTTTTCTCTTCCAAGGCTCTCAAGCTCTCACAAGAACTCAATTTGCAAGAATTTGATTATAATTTATTCATTAACTTCAAAAGAAACATAAGGGGGCTATATATAACCTCATACAATGAAAGAAAAAATAAAAGACGGTAGCCCCTAGGGCTTACATATGACAAAACCCTTAAAGGGTACAATGGAAAATGCTACTAAAACAAATACATAAAGCAAATACATATGAAGACTAAAAATAGATCGGCACAATCGTGGCCGTAGATCTTCGGCCACGTCTCTGATATATTTTCCATGATCTGATGTCCCCATCAGAAGGTCATGAAGAGAGATGTTGTTTATTATTCCTCCAGATGTCAGGCGGATGTTATGATATATGCAGCACATCACCCCATCGGAGCAAGAAATTTGAACCTTATTCATATAATCACTAATCAATTTGTTGCGTAGCAGATTCACAGACGCAGGAAAAAAGTAAAGGAAATAAAGAAATGCTAAAACTCTTGTTAAGTATATCTTCTGTGTTTCTTTCTAGTGTCATGTTGTTTATTATTCCTCCAGATGTCAGGCGGATGTTCAATGATATATGCAGCACATCACCCCATCGGAGCAAGAAATTTGAACCTTATTCATATAATCACTAATCAATTTGTTGCGTAGCAGATTTACAGACTCAGGAAAAAAGTACAGGAAATAAAGAAATGCTAAAACTCTTATTAAGTATAGCTTCTGTGTTTCTTTCTAGTGTCTTTCTTCCTAGTGTATTTCTTCTCTCTACTCTATAAGTCTACTGAGCTGCTAAAAGTGAAAACAAAATGGAGATAACAGAAAAGGACAGGTATCAACGAAGTAGTAGAAACCAAAACAGAAAATGATACTATGCAGGTAAAATATTCCTGCTATACTCTATTAGCCTTATAATGCACCGCATCAATTTGGTTAGAAAAAGATATGATTTCCTCGGTTCTCATTCCATTCTAAATTACAGGTTTCTCATTTTAGTCTGTAAACTAGAAGAGCATTGCACTCTTCAGCTATGTTGCTATTTTGATGGTAAGAATAAATAACACAAGCATTATATCAATAAGGCATGATGAATGGGAAAGTATGAAGAAATTCATTAGAAGTATTAAAACCAAAAAGAAAAATAAGAAGATAAAAAGAAGACCATGTCCATATAGCTTTTCCTTGAACTTTAGATAGATCGCACTGAAAAAAAAAAATTTTCTTTTTTTTTTCGCACTGAAAATATTATATTTGAGTTTTGGTAGAAAAGGAAGATGGCATAAGCAGCTAGACTAAAAAGGAAGTGGTTAAGAAATAACAATAACAGTATGATATTTTTGAATATCTAGAATCTGACTGCCTGCTATAAATTTTTTGGTGGATTAATCAGATGCAACTTATGATGATTTCTATTAAAGGAGCTATGTGATATGCTTCAGTCTTTTAACTGATAGAAACATACCTTTTTTAAAATCTTTATCAATAACGATCAAATACTGGCATGTGTGCAATCTTGGAGATTACTGATAAGAAGCGATGGCAAGTTGTTGAATGCAACCCGTAGAAAAAGGAAGCTAGGAAGAAAAAACAAAATATGAGTTTAATGTCATCAGAAATTTATTATCTCATTAAAGCAAAGAAAGGAGTAAGAAAAACCTCAAAAAGCTTTAATTACAGCTGCTTTAACCAGGCATTCGGATAAACTGGATCTTCTGTGCGTTCATTAGATGCTCCAGAGGAAATATCGTATCATTTACAAATCAACAAGAAGAATGAATAATCTCCAGATCATCATATATATAACAGTGCAACAACAAGATGAATAATCAAACGAGATTTGGCAGTTCTGCAGATGTAGCACCAAACATATTCAACATTTTGGAATCCACATATTGACAGAAAAAGCTTCATCATCCAATACTTTCCCAATCATCAAGTACAACATTATGTTTACGTGAGATTGGTATGCTTCCTTGGCCCCAACCCTTTTGCACTTTCTTCAGAACTTTCATAACAATCCCGCTACCATCATCTCTTAAAACAAATAAAAATATAGTATCAGTAATTTAAGATGAAGTAGGGGGATCCCAAACTAAATGTCATAAATACTGCAAGGTAGAACTGTTTTTGTACAACCTATGATAACTTATGAAAGTAGAAAAAAAAGGAGGTTAGAAGGTTACTTGTGCAATAAAGTGCGCCAATCATCTTCCATGGAACCGTCTGTCCCATGAATATGAGGCTTAGATCCAATAATATTACTTCGATGTTGGGAAACTGTATTATACGATTCATCATCATGACGGGCAGCCATGTCCATCATTTGTGCAGAAAGTTTATCAGCTTCACGCTTATTCCCTTGCCTACCCAATGCATCAATCACTGGCATGAAAGCTGCAGGATCTAAAAGAGAGCCTCTATTTATCATAGCAACAAGCAAGCTGTGAGCATCATCCACTCTGCTTTCCTTGCAGAGTTCCTCAATAAGATATTTGTATGAGAAGTTCTCAACAACAAAGCCCTTTTCAAAGGAAATTTGAAATAACTCCTTAGCCTCCAAAACCTTACCATATCGACACAACTCGTGGCAAAACAAGCTATAGAGAACCTCCTTCTCACCGCAAATGGCAAGACCGGTTCGGAATGCACCTTGAGCAGCATCAAACTCACCGACCTTGCAAAAGGATTTAATTAACAGGTTGAAAGAAGCTAATTTGGGCAGGATTCCACCCTTCATCATCTCATTCAAAAGCGAGGCAGCTTTACTAATCATTCCACCTTCACAAAAGGCCTGAATCAGGTTATTATACGTCATAGCATCAAGAGAAACGCCTTTATCACACATTTCATCAATCAAATCGTGCATTTCACTGATTTGGTTTTTCCTTCCCAAGCCCCAAATCAGCAAGTTGTAGGTTCTTGTGCTTGGTTGACAGCCTTTCTTCTCCATGTCCCTAAGAACTTTAAAAGCTGAGGAGATCTTCCCAAGTTTACAAAACCCATGGATAAAGGTATCATAAATTATGGCATCAGGAGTGATATTCTTTCCCAACATCTCAAGCAGCTTCTTCTTAGCTTCATCCAAGCGGCCTGCCTTGCACAACCCATTTATCAATATTGAATACGTAATTAGATCTGGAAAACATTTACTACTGCCATTTTTGTCATCAACAAGACCAAGAAATGCATTCCCAAGTTCACCAAGTGCTGCACTTCCATGAAGCCACATGCCACTAACAATCTCCATTGCCTTATCCAACTTCCCACATCGGCATAAGCCATCGATAACTATATTGCAGCTCGCAATATACAAACCATAACATTTCTCATTCATCTTTTGCAGCAGCATTTCTGCCTCCCATGTTCTTCCCTCTTTCCAGAGACTCTGCAGCAAGATGTTGCAAGTAAAAACATTTGGAAAACATCCGTTGCTCGCCATCTCATGCAGAATCCAACTGGCAGCTTGCACCATCCCTTTCAGACAATATCCATGCAACAAAGAGCTGTAGGACACTACATCCAGCAAGATCCCTCTATTTTTCATCAAAATCATCACTGATCTGGCAGAAAAAACCATCCCCTGCTTGCTTAGCCCATCGATCACAATATTATAGGAATAAACATTAGGCTCCAAACCATGTGTTACCATCTCCTCCAAAACCTTCATAGCTTCCAATAGCCTCCCATTTCTCACTAAACCAGACAACCATATGTTGTAGCTCTCCAGCTTCACAAAAAACCCATCCCTCCTCATCTCCTCTACCAAAATTGCACCCTCCTCCACCAATCCTAACCTGCATAAACCACCTAGCACCAAATTATAACTAATCTGATTTGGCCTTGGCAGTCCCAAATCACCTCCTTCCTCCTTCATATCCCTCAAAATCCTGTGAGCATCAAGAACCATTCCAGCCTTACAAAGACCTGAGATCCTAGCATTGAAAGTGACCACATTGGGATACAAACCATCCTCCCTCATCCTCACCACCAATTTCTCCGCCTCAAGCACCTTCCCCTCCCTGCAAAACCCAGCAATCACCGTATTATAAATCACCATATTCAACCTGCAACCTTGAGAACCCATTTGCTTCAACACCTCCAGCGCCTGTTCAGCCTGTCCTGCTCTGCAATACCCACGAATCAAAACCCCGAAAGTGAACTCATTCGGCCGGCACCCCTTCAATGACATTTTATCAAACACCTTGAGAGCATCACCCAAGCGGCTGGAATCACATAGCGAAAGCATCAAAAGATTAAGGCTTTGGACATCCGGTGTTCCGCCGGAGAGAAGGAGATCATGGTAGATGATTTGGACTAGGTCATGGCGGCTGAAACGAAGGGAGGAGCGAATGAGGGAGTTGTAGAAGGAAAGAGGTGGAGGGGACAGCAAGCGAAGGGAAGGTAGGATGGAAACTGATAGGTCGAGGAGGCCGAACGAAGCTGAAGAAAGCGCCAGAGCAGTGAGAGAAGAGGGTGAGGAGGGTGAGGGGTGAAGAAGGAGAAGGTGATGGAGGTGCTTGAGCTCGGGGAGCATGTTGGACCGAGCAAGAATGCGGGAGATGGTGGAGATAGAGGAAGGGCAGAGAGCGGAGGAAGGGGAGGAGGAGGAGAGGTGCTTGAAGAGGCGCCATGCGAGAGAAGGGTTCTTCGCGTTTCGACGGATGAGGAAGACTATGTTGGGGATGGTCGAGCGGATGGAGGAGGGGGAGGCGGTCATAGGCCGTCCAGTGGTCCGGTTCGGTTCAGGGCGGGTGAGGGCTTATTTGAATTTCTGATCGTTCCATCCATTGTGCGAACAAAGACCCCATACTTGAATTGATTTGCATGTTATGCATAAGATCTGCAACCTGTGTGAAAATTGTAATATTCGAATTCTTTGAAATTTTAGTGAAAAGTGTATGATAAAATTAACTTAAATTTAATAGTGTATTCATTTTAATTTAATTTTATCAAATTGTTATTCTTGAAGTAATTTATCAAATGATGCACATTTATCAATGAAGTACTCAGTAAGATATTTATGAATATATTTCATGATCATGCAAACTTTATTTTTGACAAACTTATTATTACGATTGTGAGTTAGTTATGTCGAATACTCGAATCTAAAAGTCCAAATCACTCAATCGTGAGTTTGTTATGGCATAGAGATGATAAAAAAAATCTAAATCAAATAATCAAAGTATTTTTTTCAATCATCTGATGGAGTGTTTAAGATTATGATCATTAGACAAATAAGCTAAATTGAGTTATTCGTGACTCAAGCAGTCAAGCTCAATTCGACTTGCTAACAACCCTACCAACAACTTCGACATATGTTGTCACCAACATGGCTAATGCATATCATCACAAACAACCCTAATGCCCACCATCACTAATAAGTTTCACACCCTCCATCGACACTAATATTGCTAATGCATGTTGTCTCTGCCAAGGTCGATGTTAGCCTTCTTAGGCTTCGTTCGGCATGACTTTTTTACTGCTTCTTAAAAGGGCTTCATAGTTTAAATTTTAAATGTTTGTACTATAAAGCTGTTTTAAAAGCATTAAGAAAACCGTCCCAAATGAAGCCTTAGTCGTGTTTTTTCCCTCATATAAGAAGAACAAATCAAATGAATTATTAAATATCTCTTGTTGACATCTACAACACCCAAAAGCACTCACCTCCTACTTCCATCATAAAAGTCATCTATGATTCATGTCAACTATTTTGTAAACTGTTCTAAACTTTTCTTATATGTATGTGTACACAATTTTCATAAAATTATACAGAGGATTCTTATTAAGAATCAAGGCTATAAGCTCAACAATAGTTCTAAGTATCTATTGTTTAAGTAACACTTAGTACTAATTATCAAGCTTATAGTAATAATGATTCTTACACAATGATTTAAACATATGGATTGATTAGTGATCATTAATTAATGATAATATATTGTGCTTAACGTTAGTTCTAAGAAGTTAATATATGTCTATATCATGAAAAGTATTTGAGAAGTGTCTGATTCATTGTAAACTAAATTTTCTGAACGAGAGGCAATTAGTATTTTGCACGTATTTTGAAGCAATTTTTTATACGTTTCTTCCTCAATATACAACTGGCTAGCAAACTCTCAGGTCTCATCACTTTTCTTTTCCGTCTTCGTCACCTTTATTACTAAAGAGACGCACTTGGCGTGTAGCTAAACCCTAGTGGCTTATAATTTTTTTTCTTTTTTACAGTAATTTTTTTATATAAAAATTTTCGTTCAAAAAAATATTTTTATTAATAATTATTTAATAAAATAATAAAAAAATTTATTTCAAATGAAGACAAAGTAATAATTGTCTATCAAAAAGTTGCTTTGTCAATTCAAAGAAAGTTAAATACGTTAAGGTTTACTTTAAAAAAATTTTGTACATGAAAATTATTTTAAGAAGCAATGATAAAGTCGTTCCAAACGAAACCTAACTTTTGAGGGCGGCCTAGCAAGCAAATCAATCCAAGAAAAGAGATCAAAGAGGTTTGAAGCTAAGAATGCGACAAAGTGAAGAAGCCTTGAACTAAGGATCTTATATGTGCCTACAATCTGGTTGATGATTAACTATTAATCTCCTAACAATTTAATTTTGTTTGAGTCCCATTTTAATGGCTACCTGCCTAACTCCTAAATATCAGCCTAATAAGAATATAATTTGTTTTATCCCCATTTTGATGAAAGCTTGAAACTAGGAATCAAAATCTAATATTTCACTTCATTGTTGGTGACTTGGTGTTATTTTTGTATGGAATCTTGTTGTATCTATCAATCAGATCATACTCTTGACTCTGACCTCAATTCCGATGGTTCAACACCTCGGGGGGTTGCGGAGGGCAATGTTTATCTTGCATGGGGTTTTGGGACCTAGCTCCGGAATATATGTATGTATGTATGTATGTATGTATGTATGTATATATATATATAT